GGTTTTGCCCCCTGCATCTCAGTTCTCCAGGCTTGGTTTGCAGTGCCAACACCCTGCACAAGGGGGCGCTACCGCCCTGCAAACCCTACCCACCTGGTCTCTGCTGCAGAGGAGATGCGCCCAGCCAGGAGACTGGGGTGAGTGTTCCTCTAGGCCCCTTCTCCAGCTTTCCTCGACTCAGGATTTACATGCAGTTTCGTGCAGGCATCCGGTGGGGGAGACCTCTGGAACACAGGCCAGTAGAGTGGAGGAGAGACTTTGGGGACAAGTGGCATAGAGTTTGGAGGGGTGTAGGGAAGAGAGACCTTCCTCCTGGGCCCTCCAGGTCAGGGGTGCAATTGGAAGGACTGGTGTTTCCAGAAGAGCTGAGCCAACATAACCCAATACCGACCACTCCCAGATTCAGGGTGGGCTGGGTTGGCGAGGACTGGCACATAAGGAGGAGGTTTAGAGGGGCAAAGTAGTTGTTCTGGAGTTAAGAACCTCTTTACCTCAATATATTTTTCTTTCTTTTTTTAACCTTTTAAAGATTGAGGTAAATATATACAGTAAAGTTCATAAAATGCATTAAGCTTAAGTGTACAGCTCAATGATTTTTTTAACTGAGGTGTACATAATACTTATGTACATAGGTATACAATACTTATGTATTCACAACTACTGCTGTTTAATTACGTGTATCATAGCTTTCACTGGCATTCAGGTCAACAAACTTTTATTAAGGGGCTCCTGTGTGTCTAGCACCATCCCGCTCTTTTGTAAGAAAAGTGAGGATGCCACATGTTTGTCCAGTATCTGTGATGAGGTCAGTTTTATTATGAATCATAGTCATTTCTTGACAGAATTATACCATCAGTGCCTTGGAGGGCAATGGCCCACTGTGTGATCTCCTTGCGGTGGCTGTATTTTTGTAATCCAAAGTGGGACAAATTGTCTGCCATGTCTGGATATACACTAACTCACAGATCCTCAGGAAGATGTTATTGGGTCCAGGATATACGGTCGTGGCAGCCTTGCTCCTAGCACAGAGCCAGGCACTAAGCCGCCAAGGAGAGCATTTTTGGGAATTGATCTTGCTCTCTGGCCTGGTGCTACATGTTTTTGGAAGCTGGGTGAAGGGTGACGTCTTTGACCACAGGCTGGATCAAAATGAGCTGGAGCCTGTCGCGTGTGTGTGAATCTGCTAGGCCTTTGGAGGCACCAGTCCGTCCCCTGCTTTGTGGTCAGCCCGGCCTTACCTCACCCAGACCCCATCCTGCCCCAAATCAGGGAAGTGCTCCTAGCGGGAAATCAAGTGAGTGAGCAGGAAGTGACCCATGGTGAGGCAGCTCCCAGACCTGGCCCGGTCCCTGAGTCAATGAGCTACTTCAGGCACTCACAGGAAGTCCTTCCGCCAATTCACTACAGTGTGGACACCTCTTCTGTCCTCCTACTGCCCCTCCCTACCCAGGTGTGGGCCTTTGGGGGCAGGAAACTGGTCTCTTCCTCCTCTAAGCCATGAAGGTCCCATTGGAGGAATAAGGGACCCTGGGGGGAACTGGCCTCAGCCTGGAGGCAGAGGAAGGCACTCCCTGGGGATGCGGTGACAACCCTGGCCTGGGGTGCCCAGTCCTGTTGTGGAACCCCTGGGTCCAGGACTGGTGAGGGACAGGGGAGGAGAGAGGGGGCTGGGCCTGGCTGGGGAAGGCTGGCCTGGAAGGCACTCAGCCATCGGCCCCGGGCCAGGGTGGAAAGTATGTGTGTGAGCTCATTTGGAAGGTGGCTTCTGGCCAGTCAGGCCTGCCTCCCTTCCAGGCCCCTGCTGCCCAGCCCCCTCGCAGGCTGCCGACTGGGTCTCCCCAGTCTCCCAAGACTGTCTGAAGGAGGAAGGCAGAAACCCCTAGGCTAGGTGTGCAGGAATTGGTCTCCTGAAGGAGGTGATTTAGATTTGGGGGGTAAGTAGGGAGGGGGTACAGGGACTGCAGGACAATGGAGCAGCCTTGACTGGGGTTTCCCTGAGGGCTTAGAGAATGGGAACCTCCCCTGAAAGCCTCCCCGTCCCCACTAAGCCCTTGCCACAGCCATTCACCACCCCATCCCTCCCCTCACAGCTGCCATTGTCCCACTCAGTCCCTCTGGCTTCTGAGTCCTGCTGCCTCCTTCCTTCCCTCAGAGTGCCTGTTCCTGCCCCCAAGAAGGGAGGTGACTGCTGGCAAAGTGGATTCCTGAGGAACAGCCCTTCTCCCCCTGCACTCCCGCTCCCAGGGCCGATGTTGCCACATGGCACAATAGGCCAGCGCATGTACGCTGACAGATCCCCAGAACACACACTTCCATGAAGACACCCAGCTACTTGGAGTCCACACTGGAAGAGACACCTAAGAGGCGTGGTCAGGATCTGCTTGTACAGAGGAAAAAACAAAAGAAATCAGACCGACCTGGGTTTTAATCTTGCACTTGATCTTAGCCAAAAGGCTGAGAAGCGATTAGGTTTTAATTTTGGACTAACAAGCTACGACCTTGAGCAAGTCTTAACTGGGCCTCAGTTTCCACATCTGTGAAATGGGGGCAATGTCAGTGCCTGTGTTGTTGGGTGTTGTGAGGACCTCAGCAAATGCTGGTTTCTTATCACTTCACCTCGCCTTAGTTCAAAAGGGAAGAAGGGATGATACAGAGAGGAAAGAGAGGACTGGGAAGTCCGTCAGATGGTGGGGAGAAGGGACCCTGGGGAAGGGACAGTGAAGTCCCAGCAGCACTGGCCAGATTGTGTATGGTGGGGGATTACTCTGCCCATTTCTCTCTCCTCCAGAGGGCCCAGCTCCTCTTAGCTCTTCCCTTGCCTTCTCTTTCCATCTTGCTGACCTAGCACCTGGCTGGCAGCCTTGGAGGCGTGGGCCCAGCTGGTGACAGGAGCCCTGGAGAAGGGAGGAGATGACAAGGGAATCCATGGCTCCCCCCTCCAAACGTGTGGGGTGCGGTGGTGGGCAGAGCACTCCCTCTCCTCAGGGCTCACCCCGAGTCCTGTCTCCTTAGAGCTTGCTTCCCTGGGCTCTGCCCAAACCTCCTCACAGATTCCCCTTGGCTCCTTCCTGGCTGCTCTCACTCACATGTGCTGCTTTCGAATAAAGGAACTTGGAACCACAGAAACTGGGTCAGGCCCAATGGACAAAGCAGGATAGGGCCAGTAAAAGCGGCGTTTCCAGGTCTCTCGGGAGCCACAGGGCCCTCTGCTCTCCCCTCACCTCAGCCTGACCTGGTGCTTCACTCAGCTGGGGCCTTGCGATCACTGAGGCACCTCCCAGGGTCACCAGGCAGCCTCCCTTGGCTGGATCTTTCAGGCCAGAGGCACGTCAGAAGCACGGGACTGTGCAGCCTCCACCCCGCAATCCTCCCCGCTTGTGAAGTCTCTTCCACGTCTTCCCCCTTTGTCTCTGGTCCTCCATTTCCATCTCTCCCCCTTGGCTTCAGAGAGCATCTTGTGATTCCAGAATCAGGGCCAAACAATTTCCTCGTGATGGGGAAACCGCACTCCAGCCGCGGGAGCCCCAGGCTCCCCCTCCTCTTCCCTCTGGCAGTCCCCCCTCCCCAGGCTCTTCCACTGGCTCCAGCTGTGTTTTGCAGAACTCCCACTGGATAACATCTGTAATTGCCTCCAGATGTGGGCCACAAAAACACAAAGGGGCCATGAGCTCATCTTTGAGTTCCTTGCCACACGCACGGGCCCCACCAGCCCCAGACACCCCCGACTTCCCCGTGCCAGCTTCTCAGGGTCCCCATCTCCTCCAGTGAGGGTGGCGGGAAGGTGGTGTCCAACTCCGCTGAGACACACAGGCCCTGCCAAACAGCTGTTGGCAGGAGAGGCACAGGAGGCCAGGCGTAGGGTCAGGGTTCCTGGCTGGCAGGAAGGTGGGGTACCCCTTCTGCCAAAGCAATCACACCAACCAGCCCTGGATAGCAGCTGGATGGAAGACCGGCTTAGGTGGGGCCAGGGCTCTTGGAGGCAGGCTGTGGAGGGGACCTGGGCTGGAGCCCGGGGTGGGCTGGGCTGAGGCGGGAAGGGAAGGGGGGCGAGAAAGAGGGCTGCTCCCCTCCAGCTGAGCTGACTCAGCAACTGAGCGATTCCTCCCTCCAGGCTGGTTTCGGAGGAAGGGTGGGTTGACCAGCCTGGGAACCCTGTCTGGAGCAGCAGTTTCTAAGGAAAGAGGAAACAAAGCCTTGTTATTCTGCCCTTCCAACCTGACCATCCTGGCTCTCCTGGGCCACTGGGGTGAGATGCCTGTTTTGTCAGAGACAAGCTGCTCCTAATTGGCCATGGGGCAACCTCTTCCTCTCTTTCCTCCTCTGTTCCTTCTGCCCCAGCAGCGGCGCCCCAGGCCTGGAGGAGCCGTAGATCCTGAGGGCTGGGGTGAAGGGCCTGCCACTGGGTCCGAGGCCGAATGTGATCCTGGGAATCCCCTGGCCGCAGCAGGCAGAGAGGCCTGAGGAAACTGAGGGTCTGCGGCCAGGTCACACGACAGGGTAATGCAATTTAGGAAGATTTTCCAAGAGGCTTCAGCTTGACTACTTCCTCTTGCCGTTGCAGCCCAGGGCCTCAGAGGTAGCCTCTTAGGCCAGGTTGGGAGAGAGCAGCTGGGCTCTGTGGACCACTCCCCTGGCCCCATGGACTGTGCCCTCCTTCCCAACTCTGGCCCCCCGATTCCCTTTCATCCACTAAGAATAAACCTACTCCTTTATGAAAAACCCCAACCCCCACCATGGAAAACACTGCTCATGACGCACACCCTCCCCCTTTCCATTCCCCTCTCCGCCACATCCCATTCACCCTTATAAGACAACTGCAGCCACACAAAGAATGTGAAACACCGTTTATTCTTTGTGGAAAGGTTGAACAAGGTCAATAATGTCCTTAGAGGGCACTGACCCAGCCCCGCCCTGCAGGTTCCTGGGGTCGGACGCCTCTGCCCCCCACCCCCACCCCTCCCCATGCCCCTTGTTAACAAAAAGGAACGATTTGAAGGGAATTCATATATAATAATTATAATAAAAATATACATTAAACAAAACAAAAAAACCCAAACAAGACAAATTTAGCCGAACTGCCAGCACCGTTCACCCCATTTTCTCCCACCCCCCTTGCCCCCCCCACCCCTGACATCCTTCTCCTCTCACTCCCCCTACAGGGTATCTCACTCTCCCAAGTCCCCAGTACCATGACCACCTTCAGCGGCCGAAGGAGACTTCAAAATGGGTGGGCTGGGTAAGGCAAGGGGGCAGGACACCGGTAGGATGGGCTGAGGGGTGGGGGCATCAGGAAATGAGGGGCTAACCTGACCAAGAGACACCCAGCCAGCTGGCCCCCTCACTGAGGCTGGCTGAGGCAGGCTGACTGAGTGCTGCTGGCCGCTGGGAGCCTCCTTGGCTCCCTAACTAGCTGGCCACTCTCATGAAGGGCCCGAGTCACCAGTCCCTGGATGTGTGCCATCTCCGCTCTTTTCTCTGAGCTCCCCACCCTTCCCTTCCATGCTGCCTAGTCGGAGGAAGGGCACCAAAGAGGAGCAGGTGTGCCTTTCTCGGGCCCTTCCTGAGAGCTCCAATAAAAGTGCCCCATCCCCCGGCCCCGGGTACCACAGCCCACCCTGTATCGTCCCTGCTGGCCTGCCTGCCCGGCCCCCAGCCATCCACTCCTACTGCACCTCCCTTGTTAACCTTTTGGTCCTGTCCTGTCCCCTCCGACTGCTCTGCCCCTGGGTCCCTGCCCCAGCTGCCTGCATTTGGGCAAGTTCTTTGTGGCCTTCAAGCTTACCCCCAGGGTTTCGGACCGATTCTCTGTCTTTGGTCCCACCACACCGCACTAGCTGCACCCCTGGCCTCAGCTATTCCAACCTCGACATCCCCATCCAAGGCTAACATTTGGGATGGTGGGGCTGTCAAGGGTTTCTCCAACCCCAGTTTAGTCCTTAATGGCTCAGGCTCCTTCCCTGGAAGTTCTCGGGGGCAGGCGGGGCAGAGGCAGATCTTTGTGGAGAGGACTGACCCTCTCTGAGCTTTCCTCCCAAGGTCTTGGGTGGCTATACAGCCCCCACCCCCTCACACTCTCTCAGGGTCTCCCCCCACAACAAAATTAAACTCCTTTTAGCCAGAAAGAGTGGTGGGAGGCTGCCAATTGGGTACACCTGGGGGCTTGTGGGGCTGGAGTGCCCAGAGCCTCCTGAGGTCAGAGTTCAGAGGTTAAAGGTATGTCACGGAATGGAAAAGGAGCAGATGACCCCATTTGACCTTTACCAGCGAGGTCTGAGGGTCCTGCCTTCAAGTGCAGAGCCAAGACATTCAGATGGGGCAGGACATACACCAAGCTACAGGGGCCCCTAAGGGGCAGGGGCTGGAAGGGGCGGCCCCTGCTCAGCCCCCAGGGGACCCATCTAGGGATGAAGCAATGGTAGGGTTGAGGGTGGGAGAGGCCAGTCACGGGACAGAGAAGAAGGAAGGCAGGGGTGGGGGAGAGGGAGCTCGGGACGGGTGGGAGCAGCCCACCCACCACCACCTGCTGCCACTGGCCTTCAGAGGCAAAGTCCTCGTGGTAGGAGTGGGCGGGCAGCGGTGGGGGTCAGACCTTGTCCAGCAGGGAACGCTGGCAATAGAGCAGTCGCTTGGGGGTCCCATGACGTCTGAAGAAGAAGACCGCGAGGCCCACCGCCAGCACCAGGAGCAGCAGCAGCACAGGTAGCACCACGGCAGCCGCGCTCACTGCCCCGCTGCCCTCCTCATCCACCTCGATGATGATCACCTCCGTCTCCTCCTCAGTCCCCTCATCCGGCCGGCCCCCTGATGGGCAGCCCATCCAGTCCCGCAGGGCTGACTTGGGGTAGCCCGGCTCTACCTTCAGCTTCTGGTTGTTGAATTTCCAGTATTTGTTCCCCTTGTAGAAGTAAGTGAAGACTGCAGAGGTCACCAAGGAAGACAAGAGGTGGGACAGCATCCAGGAGAAGACCCAAAGAGAGGAGGAGAGCAGAAGGACAATCTCAGTGTGTGAGCCAGTTGAGTTAGTCTCCTAACCTTGCTGAGCCTCAGTTTCCTCAGCTGTAAAATGGGGCAATTCTAGTACCAGGCTGCTTCGAAGAGTGGTGGGGACGAAAGGGTCTGATGCTTGGAGAGCACTAAGCCCAGTGACTGGCACGTGGTCAGGGCTCCACTCTTATTATCGTCACCATTATTTTCCACACGATTCAATCCATCTTTCCTCCTGCTCACTGGTAACTCCCTCTTCCCATCCTCCCCTCAAGGACTCCTCCCTTGCCCCTCTCACCTTCATCACTGCCCATGAATGACCCTCTGGGAGACTCAGGGATTCCTTCCCAGACCTTGATGTTTTTAGGGTACTCGCTGTCCACTGCCCTGAGCTCCTCGTTGAAACGGTAATACCTGGGGAAGAGGAGGGGAAGGGAAGGGGTTGGACACTGGGCATGTCGTCAGAGGGTAGCAGGACCCGGGACTGACTCCACCAGTGAGCAAAGGGTGGCTGTGGACAGGGTGTGGGGACAGGGTTTTGAGTAATGAGGGCCTGCAGCTGACAGCAGCGGAAGGTGGGGGTGGGAGGGAGGGCCCAGGCTACAAGGAGCCAGCGGCTCTTAATGACAGTGCCTGGCTGCTGGGGCGGAGGCACGGTGCTTGGGGCAGGAGGCGTCAAATGACCAGGTCTGAAATGGTGACCCGGTCACATCCCACTCACTCAGCACCCAGTGGAGGCTGTCTCTTGCTAGGCAACAGTAGAAGCTCAGCTAGCTCCTTCTCCAGGGAAATATCACAGAGGTGAAGTGGGGCTTCCTCCAGAAGTGAGGGAATCTGGTGGTGCTGTCTGAGAAGGGAGCCCTGGGGTCAAGGGGTTGAAGTCATACTTGTTTCCCCGGAAGAAGTAAGTCTTTCCATTGGGCATCCAGAAAAGAGCAGCATCAATCTTGTCAGTAGGCAGTCCTCGGCCCAGCTCCTTGATGTGCTTGGGGTAGCCAGGTTCCAGGGAAGCTTCATCGAACACCCAGTGCTTATCCCCTGGGGAGGAGAGAGAAGGGCGGGATCTGGGTTCCACTTGGGCTCTAGGGTTTTTGGCGGAGTCAAGAGAATCGGCTCTTCCAGGGAGACCCTCCCCAAACCCAAAGATGGAGGCAGAATGCCTGGTTACCTTTGAAGAAGACAAACTTGCCATCCTTCCTCTCATAGGCAGTGTTGATGGATGCAGGCAGGCCCCGCCAGAACTGGCCGATGGGCATCGGGTATCCATCCATCACTTGGTTATTCCTCACCCGCCAGAACCAGCGCTCCTGGGAGGCAGTTGAGGCAGGAAGAGTACATTATGTCTTGTAACTTAGTCCTCTGGCTCAGTCTTCAAAGCACCCTCACTGCCTCAATTTTAGTTTTTAGTCTTGTTGCTGTTTCCACCCAGCCTCCCAGTCATAGAGCCCCTTTGTCCCCCAAATCAGCCCATTTCTTCCTCTCACCTTGAAGACAAACATCTCCCCTCGGAGCACGGCCACGGTGTCAAAGTTCCCGTCACAGATGTTGGGCCCATAGGTGGGGTTTTTGGGCTTATCAGGGACAGAGGGCCTGGAGGTAGTCCTGGGTTGAGGGGGCATCTTGGTGGGGGACCCTGACTCACTCCCTGGGGCAGAGAACACAAGGGGCACTTCAGGCTTGGTGGCAGAGGGACAGGAAAGGACAGACAGAGAGGGGCAGACAATACCCTTGGAAAGGTGTGGATGGACCTTTGGGGGAGGCTGTGCAGTCAGCTAGGAAAGGACAGAAAAGGTGGGATCAAGTGGGAGCAAATGGAGGCAGGGTCAGGAGGGGGATGCTAGCAAACTGTACGGCATGGGGGAAGGGAAGAAATGCACAGGCCAGAGAGACCAGAAAGGGACAAGGAGCAGAGAGAAAGGAGCAGAGGTGGGCATAGATTACTTGCCGTAAAGTTGCTGGATGCCCCGGCGGTCATCATCGGGCAGCACGAAGTTCTCTGTGTCCATCCACTGGTAAAAGGGCGCCATGATGGCTGAGGGATCATTGGAATGCTCGAGGCCCAGGGCATGGCCCAGCTCATGCACAGCCACAAGAAAGATGTCATTCCCTGGAGGGATGGATGGTTATGATGGCAGCCTGGGTCCCTTCCCTCAGACTCCCAGCTTCCCCACCAGAGGCTTCAATTTCATACTCAAGCCTGCCTGCCATGTTTTCCACCCAAAAAGCCACAAAGCCAGTTAGCAACCTCTTCTGGGCAGAGGTGAGAGTGCTCTGGGGCCAGATCCCAAGCCAAAGAAGACTTGTGTTAAGGGAAGCTGAGGCCCTATCTAGGCCTCAGTTTCTCCCAGGAGCTAGACATGACACTTGCTTAGAAAAGTGGGTGATGTGGATACTTTGAAGTCTTTGCCTGAGAAGTCAATTATTGGGTGAGAGACAGAACCATATATAAATAGCTCAAAACAGGATTCCTGCTTTTGGTTAGAAGTCAGAGCATGAGATCTTTGTGGTCCCTTATAGCCCTGAGATTTTGAGGTTTGAGGTTTTGGGAGGAGGCAGGAGAACCCCATACAAATGATTGTTGACCTTCCCTGGAATAAGAGTCCCAGGGCTACCTCGCTCACCATTCAGATCCTCATTCCGGACAGTCCAGGGCTCGGCAGAGTCAAAGTGGGTGTCGCCTCCAATGTTGGGGCCTGGGAAGTAGGCGTGCGCAAGGAAGCCACCCTCGCCATCAAAGGGCGTGCTGTCACCATGGAAGCCCTCAGCGAAGAAGATCATGATGTCAGCCTGTTTCTCATGGCCCTCGCGGATGTAGGCATAGGGTACCTCTCGGAAACGCAGTGGTGTGGCACTCTCCCACACGCGGAATGCTTTGCGGATGGCCTCGAATGTGGCATACTCACCCACCTTGGGGGTGTAATTCTGGATGCTAAGGTCCAAACACATGGGGAGAGGATGACAGTGTGTTAGGATGACAAGGGGCAAAATTCTCCTTTCCTGCACTCTCCCAGGTCTGACTGAACCACCCAGCCACCTTTGCCTGAGCTGGCTCTTCCTGCTGCCTCATCATGCCTCTGCCCCAAGAACTGAGGGCTTAGGGAACCCTCAGGCTTTCTCGCCCTTGGGTGTACCCCCCGCAAGCTGCACCTCTCTCTAGGATTATAGCCATTTTCCTCCCCACTCCCAAGGAGGCATTCCAGGAACAGACGTGAGTAGGGCAGGAGGCCTCTGAGTCTCTGTAAGCACAGCTGATAGGGAAGGGTAATCTGATGTGAGAAAGGCCACTTGCCTGTTGGACTCACCAGAAAGTGATCTCGTTATGCTGCCATTTGAGGCCCTGGATGGCATAGCGCTTCCTTCGAACATTGGCCTTGATCTCAGCCCCAAACTTGTCTGGAACACCACAGCGGGGGCGCCTCATGGCCCTGGGGTGGGTTGGGGTGTGAAGATTGCCGTCAGGATAGTGCGAGACAGAGAAAGAGATTCAGAGGAGAGGCGGAATGTCTGGTCCCAGGGTCAGTATAGGGAAGGGCCAAGGTTATGAGGTCAGGGTGAATAGGAGAGGGCCAGGATCAGCATGTGGGGACAGGGTATGGGGGCAGGAGTCACACATTCAGGTAGAAACCTCTCTGGTGCTTGGTGTTATGTTAGTAGGTGCTAGGCAGAATTCCTGCCAGGGTCTAGCACTTACTTCATGGTGTCTGCATCAGCTTTGCCCGTTACTTGCAGACCGTAGAACCTCTGCATGGCAGCGATGGCAGCTGAGAGTGACTGGGGTGAGCGCTGTGTGTGGGTACGCAGGTCCCCAGGGGGCAGGTAGCCATACTGCTGCAGCCAGGCCTGTAGGGAAAGGGATGTGGCTTAGAGCATCCCCACGTGGCCCAAGGGGAGCCTCTGCCTGCTCCATGGTGTCTGGCATACACCCTTGGCTTGGGAGGAAAGAGCAATGAACTCCCAGCCTGGCTCTGGCAGTGAGTCTGGAGGAACTCCCAGGCTGGACCCGTACTCTGGCTGGGCCCCAGTATGGCTTGTCCTCCTGGGGCTGTGAACTCAAACAGGGGTGGGGAGCCACAGCTCCGGAGTTTGGCTGTAACTCTCTTGAGGATGAGAGCCCTGGTGGTTTAATTGAGTTCTAGAATGTTTTCTCAGAGGTGAGATTCCTTCCAGCACTTTCCTCCTCTGTATTAGTGTTCTTGTGAATACAGCAGGTCCCACCTAAAAACGGGTTGTGCCTATGATGGGTGGAGGGGGGAAGGGCTGAGGGGGCTCCATTTTTGAGCCTGGCACGAGGCTCTCCTGGGACAGGGATGCCATGCCTCCAGGACCCTCATACTGAGATCTTTTTAGGAAGGAGGGCAGAAAAGGAGCTAGGGCTGAGGCTGGCTGCTGATGGGAGAAGCTGGGGCCTTTGGAGGTGGTGGGGTTGTGATCCAGCCCCAGAGCCCGGATCCTGCTGTTGTCCCCATCCACGCAGCATCTGACTTAGGGCTTGGCACCTAAAGGCCCATTTAAGGTTCTCAATAGAGGGAGTGGGAGATGGGAGTGGTGGTGGAGACTTGGTGACTATTTTATTTCCAGTATGTTGTGAATTGTTCATAATATAAAGGCTGGTATGCTGCCTTAACGTTAGGTTTTAGGCATATGATTGAAAGGTACATACACTGCAAAGCCCTACTGAGGAAAAAGGCAGCCTTTACTCTAAGAACAATGGAGTATTTTCCTACAGGCTGAAAAGTAAAATGAGCCAAGTTATATATGGAATATGAAAATGCTTGGATTCCTCTATGGGGAGAATGACCCAGACAGCTTTGCTCCCTGCTCTAGCTTTGTCTTCTTAAGGAGTCCAGAGTGGGGCTGCAGGTCACTGGGGATGGGAGCTTGCAGTGCAGAGGGGCCCAGCAGAGGAGGCTGCTGTCGGGTGCTGCACCCCCTACCCCAGGTCACTAGGATGGATCTCCACGTGGCCCTTCACCTCTAGGCCCTGGTGTGAAGCAGTGCTCTTGCATTGGGGCTGGGGGTGATTCAGGAGCAGCTGACTGGGGACCTGAGCCCGCAGGGGCAAGAATTGCAACATGGTTCTGGGAAGTGATCCCCCAAGGCTGACGGAATTAGGGCCCAAGATGTAAACAACCCAGCCTTTCCTTAGCCAACAGGCCTGGCCAGAACAACCCTAGCACCACCCGGCTCTGAGGGCCCCTCCTCAGGGGGAGAGGCAAGAGCTCAGTTTAACCTCTGATATACTAGAGAGGAGCAGAGCAGGGTGCTCTAGGCCTGGGCTGCTCTCTCTGGGAGCTATAGGCTTGCCCTGACCTGTGTTGGCTGATGCCACAGCCAGTGCCCGCGGGAGGCCTGCTGTGGCCTGTGCCCAAGTATGAAGGAAACTCCCTTTGCCCCTAGCCTCACCTGTAGGGTAGACACACCCTAGGCTTATGACCCCTGGTGGGGGTTCAGCTTTGGGGAAGATGAAGTGGCCTAACGCTGGAGCTAGAAGTCAGGAGGACTGAGGTTAGGCCCTCTCAGCCCTCAGGGAGCAAAGCTGAGGGGAATTCTCCTAGGGCAGGATGACAGAAGGGAGGGCGGCAGACGGGGAAAATCCACATCCAGGAGCTCAGGGATAAATCCCTCTCCCTGATGAGTCTTTCAAGAAGATAGGCAGGTCTAAATATTCACACCCACAACCTCCACTCCACACCCCAGAGAGAAAAGTGTAGACTTAGTTAAAAGAGGGACTTCCCTGGAGTCCAGAGAGCCGCAAGGCCTGGGAAGGAAGTGCCCCTGTCTCTCTCCTCCTCCCAGGCCTAGGCTTTCTTCCCTCACAGGGGCAGGCTCTGAGCAAGGCAAGAACCACAGAGAAGGCTATGAGGTCCGAACCACAGAAGAGAGGACTCTTGTGTCTGCGGCCGGGTGGGGGAAGGGCCAAGTGCCAGATAGGCCAAGGGGAGAGGAGGGCCGTCCTGGAGCTGGTGCAGGACTATGGAGGCCTGGTGGGGGGACCCAGCTGCCTGAGGCCTGGGCCACCCCAGCTCTTCCTCCAGATTGGCCTAGAGAGGGAGCAACAATGTTGGGTCAAAGAACACAGTCTGCTGGCTTTGTCTTGAAAACTGAGTGGTACAAGGTATTCTCCTAGGGGAAAGTCAAGGGAACCCCTCCCACCTCTGGCCTTGGAGTCCTGGAGAGGGTGAGGGGATCTCTGGCTCTCCAGCAGGCCCTGGATCAGAGCCTCCGGGCCTGCTCCTCCCTCCCTGTGCCTCCCACCCCTCCATGGCCCAGAAGCAAGTGGTGGTTCTGGCACTGGGACTGCCCATGACCCACTTAAAACAGAGCCAGGGCAGCCGCCCCTCCCCTAGGGGGCCTAGTGGGACAGGGGAGGGAAGGCAGGCAGGGCAGGCAAAGTTGGCAGTGGGCAGCCCCCCAGATGCCTAGGGTCCTTTGTTGGGAGCTCTCCTTTCAGGCCTCAGATGAAGGCTCCAGGCCTGGAAAGAGATGCCCCCTCCTCCTAGACAATGTCAGGCTTAGCCCCAGGGCAGATTTTCACTCTCCTTGGTCACCCCCATTCCTAGGGCCACACTTTTCCTTTCAGCCTCAGATCCCTTCAGGACAGAGAGAATGTGTTCTTTCTGGAGATGTTTCCTCTGGGGGTGGGACCAGGGCCAGGACCAGAACGGAGGAAGCCAAGTCCAGATCCCCTCCCCCTTCTCCTCGGGGCCCTTCCCGGCCCCTCCCGACCGCACCCAGGCCCTTGCCGGCCTGAGTGGGTTGGGATGGCCCAAAATAAGAAGCTGATCAAATCCGTCTCCCACCTTCACCCCAAAATAAAAGAGAGGGAGAGAGGAAAAACCTCCTCAGACAACTCCCACGCGGCTTCCTCCGGGCCTGGTGGGCCAGCGTCGAGGAATGGGATGGGGGGGGGGGGCGCCAGAGTGAGCAGAGACATGGCCAAGCCCTCTCCCCACGACCCCGTGCAACACCTCCAGTCTCCCTGCAGTTAACACAGTAAAACAATTAACCAAAACAACAAAAAGGGCCTAAAGGCGCCGACGGGGGGGTGCTGGGGCAGGGTGAGGAGGCGGCGGCCCGGCCGAGCCCCCGCTCACAAGGAGAGCTTTGTGTAGGGCTCCGCAGCCCGGGCGCCAGCGCCGCGACCCTCGACGCCAGGGCCCGGGCCGGGACACAGTGGGCTCCTCTCGGGGAGGCGGGGTCGTGCCGTGCACCCTCTGCCGTGCACCCCCGACCCCACCTGGCCGCGGCTCCGTCCGCGGAGGGCCCGCACTGGCGGGAGGAGGGCAGCGGCGCCGCAGCGCGGGGGGCCCAGAGCGGGCGCAGTCCCGGAGCCTCCCGGGCGACGAGCGCCGGCGTGCGCGGGCGGAGAGCGCTGGCGAGCTGGAAAGTTGGGGAAACAACAAACTCTCGCACATGACAAGAAACCGGCACAGCGCAGGGTCTGAGCGGAGTCCAGACATTTATCAGGCTCCCAACCGGTTCCCGAGCTGAGCCCAGAGCCCAGGGGAATTGCGGACGGTGGGAGTGGGCCCCGGCTGCAAAGTTCCTCCAGGGAAAGGAACGGGAAAGAAAGTCGGCGGCGGGTGGGGGGTTGTTTGGAGGAGGCAAAAGTTGGATCAACTTTGGAAGTTTGGAGATGAGGAGAGAAAGTAAACGGAGGGGGATCCTGCAGGCGGGAGCAGCCGAAACCCCGAGAACCCTCCTCTCTGTCCGAATGGGGGCTGTCGCCTTGGGGACCCCCGGGCTCGCCTCTGCGGCCGGCGCGGCTCCGGGCAGGGCCGGGGAGCTCACTTACTTCGGGGCTGAAGCTGCTCTGGGCCGAGCTGAGGGAGGCGAGCGCGGTGGCGAGCGTGAGCAGGGGGAGCAGCAGACCGCGGGCGGGTCGTGGCGCGGGAGACATGGTCCGCGACCGTCCGGGCAGCCGGGCCTTGCGGGCTCCGCGGCGGGGCCCTGGGGTCGCGCCGCCACTCCCTCGGGGCGCCTTTGTCTTCGGTGGGCACTGAATTTGGATTCCTAGAGCGCTGTCCGCTTGGAGACGAGGGGATTGTTCTTGAAGGCGCCTGTTCGCTCGTCCCTTCTTTTCCGTTTTTTGATCTTTCTTCTGCTTAGTCGGCGAACTGGATCGCGAGCCTTCTCTCGCTCTCTCCTCTGGTCCCTCCCTTCTCCCACAGCCTCTCCTCCGCCCCCGCCCCAATGCCCTCCTTTCCCGGTGCGGACGTGGTTGTTTCAGCCTGAATCCAATTACAGCCAAGAGCTGGGTAAAAAAACCCCCTAAGTTGCCTTTCTGTGGTGGAGGCTGCCATCTGCAGGGGTTGAGGCCACAGCCAAGAGCGGGGGGCTCTCGGGGGACCCAGGGGACGGGATGTGGGAGACTTTCTCCCCCTAAGCATATTTTGGGTGGCTTGATTCCTCTGGTATTCAGCGTTTGTCTCACCTCAGAGTAGGAAGTACTGGGAAGCTCAGTGGTTGGGGTGAAGAGGAGTTCAGAGTTTGGGATGGTAGTGGTGGGTCTTCTATGTCCAAGAGACCTGGGTTGGGGGGTTGTCTGCTGGGACTTGTGGCTCAACCAAATTGAAACTTTCGTCCCTTATTCTTGACAACTACCTCCATCCCTCCCCTGCCAAAAAACACAGTAACAAAACCCAACTAGCCACCAACAAACTCCATAACCACTCGGGATCTGGGGCTCCCGTCCCTGTAGAAAGATAAATGTGCTCCCTTTATTATTGTCATTTGCAATCTGGCTGCTCTTTAAATTAGAACTAATTGGGGAGGAAAGGGGTTCAAGGCCATGCAATCTGCGGAAAGACAATCGAGTATGGTGAAATTGTTAGAAAAGAGTGAAATTGTTAGAGTTAGGGCTTTGGGGTTTAGTTCCCTCTCTACACTGGAAAAGGAGGCAATTCCTTAAAGAGAAAAGTCTCCCCCTTCAGGGCCTGACTAGACTCTGAGAACAAAAGGTGGAGATATGCAGGGGGAACGGGGGAGGGCATGGTCCTGGTGGGAAAGGGAGACAGATAAGAGGTTGAGAACTAGATCTGGAAAAGCAGCACAGCACAACAGAAGCAGGAAGAGTGTGGGAGACAGAAAACTCGACCATCAGCGAAATCTAAGATCCAAGAATTGCATTGGTCAGCGAGAGAAGAAGGAGGTAGTGGGGGAAGAAGGGAGGGAAAGAAAAGCAAGGGAAGGAGTAGAGGAGACTGGACAGAATTAGGTCAGGTAGGCAGCTCCAGAAATCCTAGAGATCTGGGAACTAACACACGTTTGTGGCAGAAGAATAGTTGACAAGTCCAGTGCTCTGTACTGTAATGGGACCAAAGGGCCTTTCCCCCCAGAATCCACGGGAGGAGCCATGATCAATAAAATGAAAGATTTCCCCGGGTCCTGGGCAGCTCACTGGTTTGTGGGAGGTATATGGTGGATGTTAGATACCTATCTAACAGTGACTGGGGGCTGAGCACCTCCAGGGCTCCCCTACACAAACTGGAGTTGGGTTCTCTCCAACCAACTTCCGGAATTCAGTCAGAACCACGGAAACCTCAGGATCCAACTCTTTAGCACAACATGCAACATCCAAGTCTCGGTCTTCCCATGTCAGCCTTCCCAGTGGTGGTATCCCCTTGGGCCATGTATCTGATTTAGGAAAACTGACACCAGTTGCTTGCCAAGAAATGGACCTCAGCTGGAAAGACTTTTTCATCAAAATATTTATTAAATGCATAATTGCACATGGCCTGAGCTGTGTATAGGCTGTTCAAGGCTTGAATGCCTGGCTAAAACCAGGAAAACTGCTGCCCCTTTTTCATGTTCGCAGAGCAGCTACTGCGCCTAGTTGGGCCAGTCCTGCGGCCTGCAACGGAGGGACCAAATATCCCAGAGCAAGATTCCGCTGAACTGGAATGGAGCCAGGGATGAGGGCTCGGAGCCAACCCTTGCACGCAGTGATCTTACAGCCTGTTCTTCCTGCTGTCCAAGCCCTTTTGCTCTGAAGACAGATGGGGAACATAAAGGCTCTCTTCTGGCTGGGATGAGGCATCTAGGTGATAGAAAAGAAAGCCAGAGAGGCTGGGGAGGGGAGACAGGGATTGCTTTTTACTGACTTGGTTGAGGGCTCTGCAGCGCGGCCCCTTTAGGTTTAAGAGCATTTTTCTGCTTCCTTTCTTCTTCCTGCAACTTCTCCTGCTGCCTGAGCTGCCATGCCTGTAATCCAGCATCCATTTCCTGTGACAGCAGTACCACTCGTCTCTGAAACAGACAGGGAAACAGACAGGAAAACAATGTGGATAACATCTGTGGCTTGAGATCTGCACCATATATCCTTTCACTCACAGATCAAAGTCAGAGATTTCAGCTGGAAAACGACACTGCTGACTGGGGAAGGGGTGGGACGAGGTCCTGGGTTGGGAAGCAGGAGGAAGGCAGCAAAATGTGTGGCAGAATGTCTACTACTGGTTCCTGCCCTAGGAGTGCCCCACTCTCTTCCTCCCTTCTCACAGTACTGTTAAAACCTTGGTGTGAGGGGTACATGTTAGCTTAGGTGCCAACACAGCTCAAGACAAATTCCAATTTAAAGTTTTCCCCTCCATTTACACACAAGTTGCCCTGGTTCGGGCTCTAGCCACTCACTGCAAACTTCTCCCTCTGGGCTTGTCTTCGAAGCTGGCCTTTCATTGGAGGAGCAGGACGACCATCTGCAGATAGAAATGAGAGAGAAGGTAAGGGTTAGGGATGGCCTGCAGCACCTTGTGAAAGCGCTGTGATGGGAGTGGGAAGGAGCAGCAATCTCTAGCTCCTCTCTTCCATTTCACACCCACTGTAACTTAATTCTCCTAAAACACGTCCCTCATCTTCAAGGGGGAGGTATGCCAGAACCACCAAGAATAAGCTCCTGGCATGTACCTAGTCTATTCCACTTACCCCTCATTAGCCTGGAATTCAAGGTCCTTTGCAATGCTGAATCTCTTGTTTTATCTTCAGAAACCCTCCACTTGAGCAATCTGATCACTGCTCTACTCACCTTGAGTCCTTCCTAAATTCCATTTCACTCCATAATGAAATGACTTTCGTTTCCTTCCAGGCAAATTTTCATCCTTAGGCCTACCTCAAGCCCTACCTGTCCCAGAAACTCTTCTCTTAGAGTTCCACTGTCAGCTCTCTTTTCTGAAAGCACATATCAATCATTTAATATTCATCTATTTGCCTTGGGACATTTATTGTACTATTGTTTCTAGCCTTATTTAGCCATCTCAAATCCTTTACGAAAAGGGCAGAGCACTGAAGTATTATTATTTGATTTTTTAAAATGTCCATGCTTTGTCTTCCCAGCTAGACTAAGTTCCTTGGGATCAGGGACTGTATTGCTAGTTTTCATCGTAGTGTAAGCATACAAGCAAATCATAAAAAATTTGAAGGCAAGACACATAAATACTGTTTATCAGGAAAGGGAACCAATATTGTGTATGTCAGGTGCTTTACAGTGGTTGTTTCATTTTATCCTTACAAAAACCAGAGGAGATAGATATTCTTCTTTTACCGATGTGGAAACTGAAAAGATACAATTAAGTAACTTGTCCAAGACCACAAAGTTACCAAGTAGAGAAGCCTGGATTAAGAATCAATTTCAGGAGCCGGCCACAGGCCAAATGGTTAAGTTCACTGGCTCTGCTTTGGTGGCCCAGGGTTTCACTGGTTCGGATCCTGGGCGAGGACATGGCACCGCTCATTAGGCCACGCTGAGTTGGCATCCCACATGCCACAACTAGAAGGACCCACAACTAAAATATACAACTACGTGCTGGGGGTATTTGGGGAGAAAAAGCAGAAAAAAAATTTTTTTGGCAACAGTTGTTAGCTCAGGTGCCAATCTTAAAAAAAAAAAAAAAATCAATTCCAAGGTGTTTTCAATTACCCATACTAGTTCAAGGAGATCCGAGGCTTCCTACAGTAAATAACAAGTAGAAAAAAATCTTCACCATCCTCCTCAGCCACCAAGTATCCGATTAGCAGGAACATACTCCTGGAGAATTCAACAGGGTATTAACACTCACGTGTCTGTGCTGTTGAAGGGGGCCTGGCCGCCCAGTTCTAGTCCTGGCTTTGCTATTACCTAGCTAGTGATCACAGGCCTCAATCTTCCCACCTGTAAACTGGACTCCCAATATGGGGAGTGGGAAGTGGCTTCAACTTTTCTAAGGTCCTTCCCTTCTGAGACTAATATTTCTTTTCTTCTCTTTCTTTTTTTTTTAAAGTCACGGGAGGAGACTTCTCTGAAGGGAGCCCACCAGCCTCAATCCTCACCCTTCCACCCCTCCCTCTGAGACGCTCACTTAGGCAGCCTTTCAAAGAGTTTTCCCTGCATTTGGTGCCAAATTCTCAACAATGTTCTCATCACACAGAAGGGCGGTTCTCCCTAACTTTTTAAAAACAACATCCCCTTTGAGAAACGTAAAAGTCTTGTCGCTCCTTTCTGTGGGGCGCCCCAGGTCAGAATTAACTTCTGTTTACCCCCACAAGCCAAAAAGATCCCGTCTAGCCTCACTTTCCATAGACGTAGTTTAATTTACAAAATAAACAATGGGACTTCTTCCCCGCAACTCCAAATACAAAGCTCAATACACTGTCCACTCGGACACACCCCCCGACTCCGTCCAGGGGCGTTCCCTCTGGCTGAAAATCTCCAACGTAGAGTTAACTGTCAGATCAGCGCTCACCCGCGTAAGACCAGTCTGGGAGCTCCGTCAGGGGCCCGTAGCCGGAGGGGTTGGCAGCCAGGCCCTGGCTAGGTGGAGAAAAACAGTCCAGTGAGGACTCAGCCCAGCTTCTGGCCGCCCCCCCCCGCCCCGGCTCCCCCCAGACCGGCACTCACTGGACTCGCCACTGGCTGCCCGCCCGAGCCGCCGGGCTGCAGTGCAGCCTCCGGACACCTGCTGGGAAAACAGAGTAGAGTTGGGAGGGAGGCCGTGTAGCCAGCTCAGGGGTCCCGGGCCAGCCCCCGCGGGCTCCCGAGCCCACCGAGCCTACATCCACTTACTCGAGAGCAGAGTACCCAAAGCAGCCATGCTGAGGCCCAGGAGCCGGAAGTGGGCGTGGCCTCGCTGGCCACGTGCGACGCTGCGGGGGAAGCCGGAAGCCGCCATCTTGAATCTGGCTTTCAATCACGGGCCCCG